GGGTTCCTGAAAAGGGTTCTATAAGGGTTACTATAAGGGCTTAGGGTTTAGGGGCCTTAATGATTAGACTAGGGTTTTGGGGAATGTAAGACTATAGTTATAATCATAAGGAACCCCCAAAATAGTATAGGTAAATAGGTAATTATGTGGGCCCCTATATTAGGGCTTGGGGCTTCTATAGGGACCGCGGCTTTTAGGGTTTAGGGTTTAGGGTTTTTAGACTAGGGTTTAAGGTTTTTAGTGCTTCGGGGTTTCTAGAGTAGGGTTTAGGGTTTAAGGTTTAGGCTAGGGTTAGGGCTTAGGGGCTTTTGGAGTTGGTTTTGCCTGTATGCTATGATTAATAGTACATCCGGGAAAGGTTGGGAACACTATTTTCAAGCTTCTAGCTTATGGGCTTGGAACCCTAAACCCTAAACCCTAAACCCCTAAACCCTAAACCCTAAACCCTAAACCCTAAACCCCTAAACCCTAAACCCTAAACCCTAAACCGTGCTTAGAGCCTTCGAGCCTCGGAGCACCCTGAGATAGCCCTGGAGGGCTCTGCAGAGACCAACCTTCACCCCGTCGACAAGAATGGGTTTTGGGTTTAGGGTTTAGGGTTTAGGGTGTAGGGTTTAGGGTTTAGGGTTTAGGGTTTAGGGTTTAGGGTTACATGCGAATTTGGGGGGTGGCGTTGAAGCAGCACAAAAGCAGAGATTGGCAACGTGATGTATAACCCTGAGCCCTAAACCTTAAACCGTAAGCTTAATTATGCTGCGACTTTAAGGGGAGACGATGAATCGGGCGATTAATGGCAAAGCTGCTCGTTCTCGTCGGGGTTTTGAGTCAGCCAGCAAGGCCTTGCAGTCCTTGGGCTTAGGGCGTAGGGTCTAAGCCCAAACAGCCCCAAACCCCCATTCCCAAATCCTAAACCCTAAACGTGAAGCCCTCAACCCAAAACCCTCATTCCTAAACCCTAACCCCGATGCCCTGAATCAAAGCCCTGGGATGCAGAACCCCTGCACACAAAGCCCTAAACCCGAAACCCAAAGCGCTAAACCCTAAGCCCCAAACCCAAAGCCCTGAACCCTCCACTCTAAACCCTGAACCCTAAGCCCTGAACCTGAAACCCTAAACCCTAAGCCCTAAACCCTAAACCCTAAACCCGAAACCCTATAAACCCTAAACCCTGAAAGCCGTACACCCTAAACCCGAAACCCGAAACCCGAAGCCCTAAGCCCCAAAATCCCCCCAAGTCGCCTGGAAGACGGTGTACTCCAGGAAGGAAGGCGGAGGAGGTGTCGACACAGACCTTCAGAGTTTAGGGTTTAGGGTTTAGGGTTTAGGGTTTAGGGTTTAGGGGTTAGGGTTTAGGGTTTAGGGTTTGGGTTTAGGGTTTAGGCTCTGCAGGTGACTAGGGTTGATGGTTTAGCATGTAGGGTTTAGGGTTTCGGGCCTAGGACTCCTTTCAAGGGTTCTTCAGGGAAGGGTTACTTTAAGGGTTCTATGCCATGCTATAGAGACCTGAGCAGTTAATCTCCTTTATAAGGTCTGCCAAAGGAGTTTCTATGAAGCTTCTATGGAGTTTAGGGCTTTGGCGTTGGGGTTTAGGGTGCAGGGGTTGAGGGATGAGGGATTAGGGGTAATGTAGGGGCTTTAATAATTAGAATAGGGTTTGGGGGGTTATTATACTGTAACTATAAGAAGGAACCCCCAGAACCCTATTCTAATTATTTAAGCTTCTATACTATGTTGTAACGTAACTATAAAGGCATGTGATTACGGAACCCACAACCCTCCCGGTTTTAACGGTCAAACCAAAGCCAACATCCCTTGATGAAACAGAAGGTCTTGGCATTGGGGCTATATTCGCTACAACCTTGTCTGTAGGTGCTTGCAACATTTGGGGCTTCGGGTTTAGGGTTTAGGGCCCTTAAACCCAAAACCCGTAGGGGGTTTACTTGAATCTGGATGCCATCCTCCAGACCCTCTATATAACCAACACTCAAACCCTCAGCGCGGGCTTTCCCGTCTGTCCCTTGTTGTACAGGCCCCTGAATAATTGGGATTGGGTAGACTACAGTAAAACTTATAGTACGGAACTTTAGGGAATTGTGCTGGGTATGTATGGGATCCCTGTGTTATGGTTTCGGGTGCAAGGTTTCGGGCTCTGGGTTCCGGATTTAGGGCTTTGGGCTTTGGATTTGGGCTCTAGGATTTAGCGTTTAGGGCGCACTCCAAACACTAAACGCTAAACCCTACAACCTTAACGATTGCTTCCCAGCAGCGATCGTTTCATCAAGATGTATGCCATGACATCGGAGTTATCGCGGACCGCCACCATCTTTTCGGGCAACTCCTGTCTTTCTTCTAGGATCCCAAAAAACTAGGACCTTGCAAACAAGAGGGCTCCCGTTTTGGTATCGGGCAGATTTAAAAGGAACCTACGACCCAAACAATTTTCAAAAAACAAGAGCCCACTGGGTGATCTGCTCCTCCTTGTAAGTGATTATAGGGTTTAGGTTTCTGTAATTATGAGGGATCCCAATCTAGAACCCTTATAATTTTCATAATAGCCCTTCTAGTAACCCTTTAAAGGAACCCTATTCTAACTATTCAGGACCCTATGTTAGGGCCAAGGTTGACGTGGTAGGGTTCAGGGCTGGGGCTGAAGACGTGGGGTTCAGATGGAGGACGAGGGCAGCGTTCAGAACGTCAGGGCTCTTGCCCCCCATTTCAAGGATCAGGGGTTTAGGGTTTAGGGTTTAGGGTTTAGGGTTTGGGATTTTTTTTAAAGTGCAATGCGCCCCTTTTCGTGTCAGCAAGCAAGCAAGGGCACTCCCCGAAGGGGAGTGCCGCTGGGTTTAGGGTTTAGGGTTTAGGGTTTAGGGTATGAAATGACACAAGACTTTGCCTTACTTGCGCTACATTACTGTTTGCCTTGCCCATAACCAAATTCACCGCAACCGATGCGCAGATGCCACGACGACCCCAATCCTAAACGTAAATCCCAAAACCCTCAAGACATGGAAGTTCAGAAAACACGAATCCAAAAATAAACTCAGTGTCTTTACTGGAAGTACCCCGAAATCGGGACCCGTATTTGAGAAACCCTGAGGCCAAGAACGGTGCAATGGCCTTGCCAGCGGGCACACAGACGCCGTCTCCCACGATCGAGTGCTGGCGGAGAGCATGGATGCGAGAACACAAAGACAAAGAGCCAAATTTCCCAAAGTTAGGGGTGTCTTCTTCCCGGGGTCCTTTTCTTAAGAACCCTCTTCTTGGTGCCGTCTTGTTCAACTCGTGATCACTTCTCTGTTCTTCTGGAGAGTCTTCCTCGCCCAGGGCCTCGGGCTAAAGACTCTAAACCCTAAACCCTGAACCCTACACCGACTTGAGGCTCTGCGCTTAGGCCATAGGTGCGGCCCTACACCCCAGCAAACACGCAACTTCGAAGTGGTATAGTATACTAAAGTCATAATAAGGAACCCCCAAAAGACACAAAAATAGCATAGGTAATGATTAAGGCCCCTTTACGAAGTGCTTTAGGCTTCCGGGTTTGTTCATATCCGCTGCAGCATAACTCTATGCCCTGAACACTGAGCCTCAACCTCAAACCTTAAGCCTGAAACCCGAAACCTACACCCTCAACCCTAATCTGCTTAGGGTTTAGGGTTTAGGGTTTAGGGTTTAGGGTTTAGGGTTTAGGGTTTAGGGTTTAGGGTTTAGGGTTTAGGGTTCAGGGGCATGGGGAGCCGCCTTGAAGAAGCGATGGTTCCTTCTGACTCAAAAGTTGCCTTTCAGAGCTCTCGACCCTCGGGCCCCTATGTTCTTAGGGTTTAGGGCTGAGGGTTTTGGGCTGAGGGTTTTGGGCTTTGGGTTTTTGGGTTTTAGGGTTTAGGGTTTAGGGTTTTGGGTTTAGGGTTTTGGGGTTTTGGGTTTTGGGTTTAGGGTTTTTGGGTTGAGCGGTTTAGGGTTTAGGGTTCAGGGTTTTGGGTTTAGGGCTTACGGCTTCGAGTTTCGAGTCTGGGTGTCCCAGACTTCAGGTGACTGCAGGACTCTAGGGCTCTAGCCTATGATCCCCAGTAACCTAGGACTAAAAAGAGCCCCCTTTTTGGTATCGGATAGCTTAATTTCTAATATTATACATACTATAATATAGTATAATTAACAAAATAGAAGCATATTTATAAATTGTAATAATACAAAAAAACCCTACGACGACAAAAAGGAAGGGAAGAAGGGCCCACTGGGCGACCTAGTAGACTGTATGGTCGGACCCGGGGATCTTCGAACCCTCAAACCCCCACCAAAGGGGTTTAGGGTTTAGGGTTTGGACCAAAGGGGCCTTAAAAAACTAGAAGAGGGGTTTTGGGGCTCCTTCATAGTATAGTTATAATAAGGAACCCCCCAAAAGAATATAAGTAAGTAGGTCCCTATATTAAACTTTACACCCTAAACCCGAAACCCGAAGACCGCCATCCCCTACTACCAGGCCTTGCCGGCCCCCTTCAACTCTATAGGGCTTCTGAGAATATAGGGCTTCCAAGGGAGCTGTGGTTTTAGGGTTTAGGGTTTAGGGTTTAGGGTTTAGGGTTTAGGGTTTAGGGTTTAGGGTTTAGGGTTTAGGGTTTAGGGTTTAGGATTTGGGGTACTCTTGGGGCTGAAACACTTGAAACCAGAAGGAAATGCTAAAGCTTTGAGGGACCCCAAAAAACTCTCATGTAGGGCACTTAATAAGTAGAATAAGACTTTCGGGTAGATCATACTATAATTAATAAATATAATACGGAACCCCCAGACTAGTATTGGTAATTGTTTAGGCCCTTATCTTATACCCCAACATCCTAACCCTAACCCCTAAGCCCCTGTACACCCTGTGAAACCGAATGCACTTATAAAGCACAAGGAGACCTTTTTGGACACCTCAAAAAGTCCTAAACCCGAAACCCTGAACCCTATAGGCCCCTATATAATCCTAGACCCGACACCCTGAACCCTAAAACCTATACAGTCCGCAATCCGAAACCCTAAACCGTGAACTCTATACCATCCTAAGCCCGAAACCCTAGACCTAAAACCTTATACAATCCTAGCTAAAACCTATACAATCCTAAACCCCTGAACCCCTAAGCCCTAAACCCCTAAACCCTAAACCCCTGAAACCCTTAAACCCCTGAAACCCTAAGCCCTAAGGGCCCACCCTAAGAGACCATGCCTTGTCGATGCGCACACCAGGGCCCAAGACGACGGTGTTCGCGACCTTGGGATTACTTCGTTCAGGAGGCGGGTTGCGACGCCAACGTGGGATCTTAAACGGTTTAGGGTTCAGGGTTTCGGGTTTCGGGTTTAGGGGGTTTAGGGTTCAGGGTTTAGGGTTTTAGGGTTGAGGGTTTAGGGTTTAGGGCGGTTTAGGGTTCGGGGGTTAGGGCTTAGGGTTTAGAGTATCAGGGTTGACGGTTTAGGGTTTAGGGTAGCAAACCCCAAAAAATTGGAAACCGGCTTAAGGACAAATAGCGCTGGGATTCCCTATACACTACTCTTATGGATTGAGGCTGTCGGGTTTCCAACTTTTGGGCTAACTACTACGGGGTGTACGGCATAGAGGATTTAGGGTTAAGGCCCTAAACCCTAAACCCTAAATAGGCTCCTGCTCCTGTATCACAGGGCTAGGCCCCCTTGAACGCAAAGCGACGAAGATCACACGAATTCTTCTTGCTCGGTTTAGGGCTAGGGGCTTGGGGCTAAGGGTTTCGCCGGAGAAACTGACCAAGTATTCTCAGGTCTCACCAAATTCTCGGTAAAACATCACGGGACCTTTGCCACCGAGCTGCAATGGCGTGTGACTTCAGCTTGATGCTGTGGCTTTCGCCGTGGTCCAAGGACGTTGTCAAGAGGGCTACGTTTCCTGGAGTGGAAAACCGCGATTTAGGGATGGGCTTGAGCATCTGCCCCCTGTCGGCTATCCCGCACCAAACCCAACAGCCTAACCCCATGCCCCTAAGGGCGTAATAAACCGACCCCGGCTCCTAAACCCCTTAGGCCTTTTCAAGCCCCGCATGAACCCTAAACCCTAAACCCATGTGGGGTATGAACCATCGGAGATTGGAGACGTGAGGTGGGAAAGCTGTTTTTTGAAGATCTGTTGCTGAGCAGAAGGATTCATCAATAGCCAAAGATGAGAAGGGCAGGGTTTATAGCCATGTAGCCTTGTTGCTAGTATCACCATGATAGCTGTCGGTGTTGGTTGCTGTTTTTATTCTATGTGCAGTCAGTATTTCGATTACATCTGCTGTTGCTGCCAAGGTTGCAAAGTCACTTTGCTGTGCTGAGTTTCATCGCAAACAGATTGGGTAGTCGTCTAAATTAGGGTCCCTTTTGAGGTCCTTCAAAACAATACGGCACCCTGTTGAACAGGACCGACCCGAATTTGGGGAAATTAGCACATGTTGGGGTCAGTCAGAGGTTTAGGGGTTTAGGGTTTAGGGTTTAGGGTTTAGGGTTTTAGGGTCTGAAATCTCCGGCCCCTGGATTACACTCCGAGACTTCACACTAACATCGTCAAAGCTCGTTTGCTGTTGCTGCTACTACCACCACTGCTAGAACTGCTACTACGACTATTGTTGGTACTACCATCATAACTCGTGCTAGTTCTGTTCCTATTGCCATTCCAACAGCTATTGCCATGACTGTCGTCGACGAAACCCCTAAACCCTAAACCCTGGCATTAGTTGAAGCCACTCGTATGACAGCCCGCACTCTGTTTAGGGTCTAGGGTTTCCCAGATCCCCAACCCTCCGACAGTCCAGATCCTGCGGCCGACTTTAGGGTGTGTTGATGGTGAACCCATTTAATACACCCAATACTCGAGACCCAAAATGCTGACAGTCCCGGAGCCGTAAACACTGAGCCTGAAATAAACCGTCTTAGGGGTATAGTATGCTATGTGTACAGCGACTGTAACGGTATACTACTACTAACTACTCCAAACTCTACATGAGACGGTTCTTTGGGGTGGCCGCTCCTGCGACGATGCAATCGTCACCGATGTCCACGAGCTCGGGGTCGCGGATGAACGGAGCACAAAAGTAGGCCTTGGCTCATGGAAGACAAGCAGTTCCTTTAGTTTACCTTTAACTTAGGACTTGGGACTTAGATCAATCACAGTACTAGAAACCTGTTGCCCCACCCTGTTGTCGTAATGGCAGTAGGAGTCGGAGTTGCAGCAGGAGTTGGTGGAGGAGTAGGAGGCGGAGCAGGAGCAGGGCGGTGGTGGATAACAGTAGCAACCGTCGACGAGTAGCGGTAGTAGTAGTAGTAGTAGTAGTAGTAGTAGTAGTAGTAGTAATAGTAGTAGTAGTAGTAGCAGTAGTAGTAGTAGTAGTTATTGTAGTAGTAGTTGTTGTTGTAGTAGTAGTTGTAGTAGTAGTAGTAGTAGTAGTAGTAGTTATTGTAGTAGTAGTAGTAGTAGTAGTATTCGTAGTAGTAATCGTAGTAGTAATTGTAGTAGTAATCGTAGTAGTAATCGTAGTAGTAATTGTAGTAGTAGTCGTAGTCGTAATTGTTGTAGTAGTCGTGGTAGTAGTAGTAGTAGTAGTAGTAGTAGTAGTAGTAGTAGTAGTAATCGTCGTAGTAGTACTAGCAGTAGTACTGCGTAATTTAGAATAATTCCAAAACCCCAAAATAAGGCAATTTT